GATTAGATCCTGATGTGGGTGATGATGACGATGCTATGGGTTTTAGTGGTGTGATTCAGGGTGGTGTGGTTCCAGATAATATCGCTCAGGATGAGACTATGCTTGGGGATGCTGGTGAGAATATGCGTCGGGATGCTGCGGATGCTCCTGAGACGTGGAGAAACGAATTGCTTGCGCTAAAAGGCCAGATGAAAAAGATGTTTTCTGAAATGAATATGAAGATTGAAGGCCTTGGTACCAGAGACAAATCTATTGAATCAGCTCTGAGGTTGGAAAGAGAAGCATATGACTATAACCGTGGGTTTGATCACTATAACCCTGGGTTTGAAGAGGTACAACCTGCTGCAGTACAACCTGATGCAACTGAAGAAGTACAACCTGATGCGGCTGACGAAGTACAACCTAGTGCAACTGACGCAACCATTGATTCGACTGAGGCTGAGAAAACTGGTGCAGAAGAGGTACAATCTGATGCCATTGAGAGTGAGAAAGCTGATGCGAAAAAGGTCCAGATTATAAGGAAGATGAGTACTGTTGCTGCTTCATCAGATGTCCCAGCACAAGCAACGCAGAAGATCAAGATTATAGGGAAGACGAGGGGATCTACCATTGTGATTAGGAGTCATGTTGCCACTAGGCAGCGCCATAAGACTTTAGAATGGTAGAAGAAGGATTAGAGTGTGTTTGTCCTTTCCTTTTATCCTTTTCTATAAATCATTTGATTGAACTCTTTATTTTTGGTGTTTTTGTTTTTGTATGGACTCACTTGGATCTTATTGTGTTTTTTAAGGATAACTTGGTACAACTTGTGTTTTTTAAGGATAACTTGGAACAAGTTCTTTAGGAGTAAAACAAATCCACAATTCAAGTTTTAAATCCACAATGCAACTTCCAAATCCACAAATACAAATAGTTGAACAAACATACAGTCTTTACATAGTTGTACCAATACGAGACCTAGTTACTCTTAGTTATACAATCTTGATAATCATTGTTCCAAAAAAAAAGGGAAGAACATAGAATCAGTAATGTCCTTGTTTTTTTTTACTTTCTTGCGCCAACGGGAGA